TAACTGATAATCAAATCAGTCATTTTGTCTCAATATTAATGTTTCATGTTGAAACAGGTATCAAAGGAAGTTTCTCAGAAAGATGGAATTGTTCATTGTTCTGGTGGTATGCAAAAACAATGCTGACTCAAAAGCAGCCAACTGGACAGCTGCAGATGCTGTACCCAATGCAAATACTAAGCAGGCACAGCACGAATCAATAATTAACAAAGCAGATGCACAAGCTTGATGAGGATGAATAATTATATAGCTGGGAACAGTGAATGGAGCTGATAACAGTGCTAGTTTTATAAGAAATTGGACAGACTCTTTGTATTCATGCATTTGTTTGCAAGAGTGCTTGAATAATACATGTGAAATATATTTTTAAAAGTTTCAATTATACTGATATATACCTTTCTAAGGTACATATCACCAAAGATACTTAGAAATCAAAATGATCCAGAAGAAAATATTGGTAGAGTAAGCATAAAATGATTATAAAGTATGAAATAATATTCTAAGTGAGCTAAATATAGSAACATCAAATTTATTTATTTTTGGAATTCTTAAGTGTAATAAAAATTGAAGATGTAGGTATACATCACTGTCTAACTTTATGTGTGTGTGTGTGTATACATAAACATATAAAATCTGTACTCATCCATATATTCCTTGAAGATAGGCATCATGTCTCTCAATGTACTCTACAAACACTGAGCTCAGTATCTTGTATGTAAATACCCATGGAATGAAGAAAATACACATCTTAGTTACTTTAAAAGATAATGAAAACAGGGCTGGGTATGTATCTCAGTTATAGAACATTTGCCTGGTATGTGCAAGGCCCTAGGTGGATCTCCAGCACTGATAAAAAAAAAAAAGGCTAGTAAAATATAATTAAAATTGCCAGGTGCAATTGCAGTGGTGCCCGCCTGTAATTCCAGCAGCTCGGGAGGCTGAGACAGGAGAATCATGGGTTCAAAGCCAGCCTCAGCATCTTAGCAAGATCTCAAGCAACTCAGTGAAACCCTGTCTCTAAATAAAATTCAAAATATGGTAGGGGATGTGGCTCAGTGGTTGAGTGCCCCTGAGTTCAATTTCCATCATTTATATATATATATATATATATATATATATATATATTTATATATTTGACAGTATGACAATCATATTTGTCAATTTGACAATCATTTTTCAAATATGTACATATATGTATATATATATATATATATATATATATATATTTGACAATATGATTAGGCACTTTGGTAAAAGCATACAGAGTGAACTCTCTGCACATATTACTGACTTGGTAAAATCCTTTAGGAGGCTCTTTTTGAGAAATTGTTCTTAAACTTCAGTGATTTTTTTCTTTTAAAAATATATTGGTAGTTAATTATGTAAATAATTTATAGGAGAGGAATTGTACAGTTCTATCAAAAATGCCCAAAGGACATTTGACAATATTCACAAAGGATTAAATRTACTTTCCCAAACTTTATCAGGTTTTTTAATCAAGACTACTTACAAAAAAACCAAACAGCATATTAAAGGGTAGATCCTATGAATGTCATTTTAATTAAGTCTGAATTAAAGATCTGAAGCAAAGGTAAGGCACACTTTGTATCATCATCCAACATTGAAATATTTGCTAAGTGAAAAAAGATCCCCCAAACTGAATAACTTATGTAAATGTTGGAAATTAAAATAGTATAGAAAGTTCATGAGACCCTACTTAAATAACTAATAAGAATTTGATCATGTGGCTGTATCTGATGGATATAAAAATCAGTAACTTTTCTCTGTATAATCAGAAGTACAAACATTCTTATAAATCTTTTTTTATATATGTTTTCTTTTGGGGGGGTGGGGTACCAGGGATTGAACTCAGAGGCATTAGACCACTGAGCCACATGTCCAGCCCTATTTTGTATTATTTAGTGACAGGGTCTCACTGAGTTGCTTAGTGCATCACCATTGCTGAAGMTAGCTTTGAACTCGAGATCCTCCTGTCTCAGCCTCCGGTGTCAATGGGATTACAGGTATATGCCACCACACCTGGCCATTCTTATAAACTTTTAACTGACAATAATAATGAAGTTATGAAAGACCAAGAAAAATATTTAACAGGAAACAACAAAGGCAAAAAAAAAACTTCAGTGATTTTTAAAAGCTAGAAATATGAAAGGTAATATAGATATTTATAACAAATTTGGAAAAACAAGTTTTAGTGTTTTAAGTGTATAAGGAARTTGGCAGCACTGTTCATTTACAACTCTTTGCCTAAGACTGTATGTTGCAAGAATAACAGTTCATGTAAATGCTAAGGATTCATTGCTTGTTACTAAAGCAAGTGCTTTACCTCAAAGCAGATTTTTTTTCATCTAAAGCAATGTTTGATATCACTCTTATTTTGTTTGATTTTCATTGACAAYGCATACACTTTCTATTGTCCACTTATTCATTGATTCWCAAATATTTGACTATCTACTATGTGCCAGGCAGGGAATACAGCGCTGAACAAAAATAAATCACTGCACTTCTGCATGAGGTCCTGAGTTCAGTCCCCAGCATACAAAATCTATCAATTAGTTATGGCCATACCACACTGAACTTGCCTGATCTCATCTGACTTCAGAAGCTAAGAAGGGTCAGGCCTGATTAGTACTTGAATGGGAGACSAAAATCTATCAATCAGTCATTGAACTTGTGATAATTTTATTCTAGGAATGGATATGGATGATAATCAAGATATACCAGTAAAATATACAATAAATTAGACAATGTTAAGCAAGTGCCAAAGAAAAAATAAAGCAGRAAAAGGTAATACAAAATATAAGAAAGATGTTGAATTGTAAATAGAGTGTCCAGAAAAGTCCTCAYGGAATGATGATATTTAGATTAAGTTCTGAAGGAAGTGAGGGAGCTAGTCCTGTAGATAGCTGTGGGAAGAGCATCCCAGGCAGGAAAAATCCCATGTTACAAAACCTCCAAGTGAAACAGTGCCTGATATAGTTGAGGAGTATGAAGGAGAGGGCTGGGAAGAGTACTGGAGGTGGAGATCAAAGAGATGACTGGAGGCTAGGTCACAAAGGACTTCAAAGGCTTTGAAGGGTTTTGAGCAGAGGAGTGACAGAATCTTACTTTTGACCAAAGTCCTTCTGGTCACTGGGGTTTTGAGAATATAGAGTTGAAAAGGGTAAGGTGGGATAGGGAGATCATCTCAGAAGTTCTAACTAGAATCCAGATCAGAGATGCTCCTGGTTTGAAGCAGAGTGGTAGCAAGTAGAGGSATTCTGAATGTATTTTGGATATAAACTTCATGTTTTTGTCCCTGACAGAATAGGATTTGAGATTATCCCATATTTGTGATACAATTAAATTTTTATTGTTCTTTCCTAAGTAATGAAAAAAAACCTCTCACAAATTCTGTAATTCTGAGAGTATCACACTCATGATACTGAAATTCCTTTTGTCCCTGAGTTTGAAACACCTCAATTATTTTCAAATCCTACCTCAATCTTGAGGAAAGGCAAAGAAAAAATGTTGTTCTCTGAATATCAACTACCAGCACTATCTTCTTAGCTCCTCATGACTGTAAGCTTAGCCAGGCTTTTCATTTCCCTTGATGTTCCTCAAAACCTGGCACAGAATCCTGCACACATTAATCTCTCAAAAAATGTTCATTGAATGGTACAGTTTTCATATTTTGTACAACTACTATAAAAGACTTTCTACCAGGCATGGTGGCGCATGCCTGCAATCCCTCTTGGCTAACTCAGGAGGTTAGTCAAATTCCAGGTCAGCCTACTAAACTGAGTGAGATAMTGTCTCAAAATAAAAATTTAAAAGGCTGAAGATGTAGTTCAGTGGTAGAATACCAATAAGTCCAACTCCTGGTACCACAAGAAAAGAAGATTAAATTTTCACATTCCTTAAAGTTAAAAATGAATGCAGTAGTCCTCTTATCCACTTGTTTTACTTTCCACAGTTTGAGTTTCCTGTGGTCTACTGAAATCTGAAAACATTAAATGGAAAATTCTAGAAATCAATTCATGTTTTAAATCATATGAAACATTCGTTTATCCAGCATATCCATGCTGAATACACTACCCACCCATTGGTAGCTGTTTTGGTTATCAGATCACCTTCTTGGTATTGCARTGCTTGTGTTCATGTAACCCTTATTTAACTTATTTAAATAGTGATGTTTGCAATTTTGTTACATTGTTCTAATTGTTCTATTAAATTACTAGTTCTTGATTAATCTCTTACGTGCTCAATTTGTAAACTGTATCCCATATGTATGTTGTGTGTGTGTGTGTGTGTGTGTGTGTGTGTGTGTACAGGAAAAGAACAGTATAAACAGAGTTTGGTGTTATCCATGGTTTCAAGTAACCAACCACTGGGGGTCTGGGAAAGTATCCCCTGTAGGTAAGTAAGGCCACTGTAATAAACTGAAGAGTAACATCCAGACTTCAATTGCACAATCACAAGTTAAAATTGGTATTGAGGACAAGTTTGCTGGAGWACTGTGAACTGGATGTTTTTGAACCTCTTGCATCTTCATTCTTACCAGTTGTTTCAGTTTTCTCACGCCATGTAAATTAACTTRAAGGGCAGAGGAGATTGAATTTGCAATTCACAGGGCTGATTATCAGCTACCGTTATCTAGGAGTCATCACGGAGTTAAGCTTCCTTGAACTGTGAACTTCCTTGGGGAACAATCCGTCAAAACGCTTGTATCCTATTGGCCAGAGACCCGGTCGCAGGCATCGCTCGTCACCTCTCGCGACGCGGGCCTGCGCTGTGCGCACCGGGAGTTGTAGTTCCCTTTTCTCTCGCTGCCGAAGAGCCGGGCCTCTTTCTCACCAGCGCCCCAAGCGGCGCGCAGGCTCTGTGAAGCGCAGTACGCGCGGACCGCGGGGAACGTTTCCTAGCAACTGGGGGAGGTGCGACGTCATGGTGGCGGGTTCCGACAGCCGCTGCCACTGTAGAACCGCCGAGWGCACCTTCCAGTCCTTGCGGTTGGAGGTAGCGCTACTCGCTGCCCTGTGTCCRCACGTTTTCGTCTTCCCATACAGTCTTATCCCGCTCCTGGTCGCTGAGAACAACCTCTTGCGCGCCTCCGCCCCTGAAGCCCGGACCGGTGGAGGTCCCCGGCATCGGTGGGACGATGCTGGAGTCCATTCGCGTGACGGGTGAGTGCAGGGCAGCGCCAACCCTGGGTGCTGGCGCGGTCGGCCACTGCCCGTCCAGGCACCGGAGGCACTGCGTGGCTTGTCGGGGTCAAGGCTGTCCTAGTGCGAGGTAACTGTAGGATGTGGGCTCGGCTCGCGGTGCAGCGACTGGAGCCCGCGCCCAGAACGGCGCSGGGCGTGCAGGAGGAGCTGGCGCTACACAAGTGGAGTGAAACCAGAAAACGGGCCCATTTCCTTTTGTCACTTATAATCAGTAAGCACAAACTGTGGAATGTAATGTAATAGACCAGTTACTAGTCCTACAGATGTACAACCTAAGTATTGTTTAATCTTATTCCATAGCATACTAATGTATAATTAGGCTTTATAATTTTCTAGAATGTTCAGAAAAATCAGAGCTAAGCAAAAGAATACATCGGTATATTTCAGTATACTGGGTTTATTTTTTGTGTATGCTTTTATTTTTAAACGCTGAGAACGTTTTGAGTCCATATTATTAATAAGCAAAAAGCTTGGGTGTTTAGGTACCAGGCCTAAAAGTTTACTTGCCATTGATTATTTTTAAATAGCTATACAGATGAGCCATTTTAACGAGTTTCATAGCATTAAAATAATTTCTTAGGTCATTTCACTAGCATTTGATTCTGCAAGAAAACATTTCTGCAAGCAAGACAGGTCTCATCCATGATGAATTACATAGTAAAGAGAAATACTAATCCCCAAACTGGTATCAAAATAAGGCCAGAATTTTTAACTTTAAGACATTGCAGTACCTAATCATCTTTTTCTGTGAGTTTTTTAGTTGAAAAACTAAATTCCTTTCCAGTGAAAATATTTATGATCTTGATTTTATACTACTTAATTTGATATTCAGTGTTATAAAATACAGAGCTGATTTTGATGCAGTCATGATATTGCTGCAATTTATATAATTGTTATGTTGACAGGAAGCATAGACAGTTACAGGAGCTAAGATATGAGGCTACTGAAATTTGCATYAGATTTTTTTAATGTGATTTGCTTTATTAAAACACAATGTAGAAAGTTACTTAAAAACACCCTCCGTTTATGTTGTGGAGCAAGGTTTTCAACCTCAGCACTATTGACATTGGACAAGAAAATTCTTTGTTGTAGAGGATTGTTCTCTCTCTCCTCCATAGGCATATAGAGTTGTAACAACCAAAAATGTGTGCACATATTACCACATGTTCCCTGAGGGGCAAAATTGAGAACTACTTACTGCCTTGGAGGAAAATATAGATTCTATCACAATGAAAATTATTCGGATTAGAAACTACATTGATTAAAATCATTTTCTCCAAAGCATAACAATCATTATAGATAGAATATGATTAAAATAATGTTAGTATTATTAAAGACAGTGGCACACTCTTATAATTCCGGCCACCACCAAAAAAAAAAAAAAAAAAAAAGGATTTTAAAAAAAAGGGCTGGGGATATTGCTTAGTGGTAAATAGCCTCTGGGTTCAATCTGTGGTACTATTAAAAAAAAAGAAGGAAAAAACCTAAAAGCCCAAGAATAAGCTGTTAATAAAAAATAAAATTATTATTATTAGAAAATTGGTATTCTAATCTGGTCTGCAATGCAAAATGGATCTCCTGATACTTCAGTAAGTGAAGTTGGAAGTTTGAGGAGAGATCCTTTATAATATAGTAGAGCCACCCCTGTTAGCTTAATTCTCTGCACAATTTAAAAAGCAACTCTTGTGTGTTTCATACCCTGATATAGATAGTTTGGCAGGTAATTTCTATAGTATAATAAAACTTAAAACAGCCATTTGAGAATGTGCAAGCCTGAAATTTATAGTCCCTTTCAAATTAACACACCAAGTCATTTTTCAAACTAGTTTCTGCATTTCTTCTCTATAGTACTTGACTAATTAAAATGATTCTAGAGCCCTGCATTCAGCATTTCATTGAAATGGAAAACCTAATTTTAAAAAATCAGTCAGAAACTTCATAAAGATGTTTTAGCTAAAAAAAAAAAAAAAAAAAAAAAAAAAAGCCCTCCTCTTCCCTATTCCCTCGCTACTCATTGATATCTCAGATGCCCATGTTCTTCTAGTTAGCAGAACTTGATCTATTGTGATTATGAATACTGGTGGAAATGTATTTCCTTTATTCAGCTTTAAAATAGCAATAACTGTAGAACAAACTGGTTGTTTTATATTTCAGGTCTGAAACAATTTAGTGTTTTAGAAATTGCTTTCATTTAATGTCTTATCCACTTCTGACACAGTCATGATTTAATATAATCTAAATATAACATCTTGGTGGAACTGCAACTAGAGGAATAAGACAAATAAGATGTATATACTATTTATGCTATTTGAAGATGGAATCAAGTCTGAAAGGGTCTCTTTGCTTTCTCATATCCTTTTAATGAAGAGAATTTATTATACCAAAACCACTAAAATGTTGATTCTAAAATGTAAAATTAATTACTTTATAGTAATATTAAATTCACTTTGGAAATACAAATTTAATGAGTCCAAATATTTCCCCACTTAACTATTCCATGGAGTATTTCTATAGGAGCTGAAGATAATATTGAATATAATAACCATAATAATAGTGAACCAAGGCTGTTTACTATAATCCAGCACTGTTCTCGAACTAAACATGTATTTTTTTTTTAAAGATAGAGGGAGAGAGAGAGAGAGAGAGAGAATTTTTAATATTTATTTTTAGTTATCGGCGGACACAACATCTTTGTTTGTATGCGGTGCTGAGGATCGGACCCGGGCTGYACGCATGCCAGGCAAGCGCGCTACCGCTTGAGCCATATCCCCAACCCCAAAACATGTATTTTTTAAAGTCCTCACACCAATACTCTGAAGTATGTATTACTAGCACAAATAAATTAAGTAACTTTGTCAAGGTCACAGACCCTCCTAATAAGCTGAGCCAAGATTTTAACCAGACAAACTTCATTCCAAAGACCATATTCTGAACCACTAGGAAAATCAGCACACTGTTACAATGACTACACTGGTTTAAGCTACAAAATCCAGCGTCAGAATCTCATTTTATCATCAGTGTTATATTATTTGTTAATTTACTCAAGGTATTGAGTTCTATCACCAGCAAATATGTAAATTATAATATTTGCTTGGAAAACTATATAAGTATATATATAAACTATATAAGTATATATATATATATATATTAAATATATATGTTAGGTATATATATAAGTATATACTTAAGTATATATTTATTGTTTTCAAAATGGAAGAGAAGGGCTGGAAGTGAAGTTGGTGGTAGAACATATGCTTGAGGCACTGGGTTTGATCCTAGCACCTTTGATTTTGAACAAAACCAAAAACAAATCAAAATASAAAAGAAGATATATAGCACACTGATTGAGTAACAAAATGCTGTCAAAAGCCATATAATACAAGATTATATTAATTTGTAATATTCAACTGACCTTATTTTGGGTAATATGACAAGTGATTGATGAGTCATCTGGAAATGAAGCCCTTTTGTAACAAAGGTGATTGTTTAAAAATACTGGAGATAAAATTTTCTCTATTGGTATAGGGGATTGAGCCCAAGGATACTTTGCTACTGAGCTACATCCCCAGTCCTTTTTATTTTGATTTTGAGACAGGGTGTTACTAAGTTGCTTAGGGTCTCACTAAATTGCTGAAGCTGGCTTTCAACTTGCAATACCCCTGCCTTAGCCTCCCGAATCTCTGGGATCACAGGTATGTGCTACTGTACCTTGTGATAGAGGGCTTCTGAAGGCCAGTGTTTTACCATACAGGGTGAAAACASCTAGGCATGTATCTTCTTTTTGTCCTATAGTAGTCTCTACCCTCACCAATTGTTTCCCTTTCTTATACCTTTCTGGAATGATTTTTTTATTCTTCCATTTTCAGGCAACCAAATTTTCTACCTTTTCTTTCCTCTTAAATGTTCTCTTCCCCTAGGCTACCTCTCTGGCCACTTTTTCATAAATAGGGTAATGAGTAAGCAAAAACAAACACAAATGTATGCTGTAATAAGAGTTTACAATTTTATTGTTGGGGGAGGCCCTCATGCAACAAATGCGAAAATGCAGCCATGGCGATTACTTCAAGGGAGAGATAAAAGGTGCTATGAAAATCTGAAATGAAGAAGTCAAAGACTTCATGACCAAGTGCTATTTAAACTAAAGAGCTACTGTATCTATAGAGAGGATGTAAAATGAGAGATTGACAATGTGAGAGGGGGCTGGAATGTAGAGATTAAGGAGGGATGTTATGTGAAATGAGACTGCAGAGGGATCTAGTGGCCTCATAGACCATAGGAGTTTTATCTTCATCCCAGATAGAAAGTCATGGGAGAGTTTGCTTCTAGCACAGAGGATGTACAATGCTTGTTCTTAACCTTGTCATCAAAGTATGAAATACTGTATTTATAGTATTTACAATATTTCTAGCTGTAAATACATAACACTATAATTTTTGACCCCAAAACAACAGTGTCACATTGTAAGATTGTTACTAATAGAATAACACTGAAGTGCTGCTTCTGTGGAATTTTTAGGAATCTGAGAATACAGTAAGGTTTCTGAATTCCTGAGTGATATTAGCAGTGTATTTCTTCTATTTTTCCTTAGTAGCTGACTGGATGCTATTGAATTATAGAGGTATTAAAGTCAATAGATTATCTGCTATAATATAGGCAAGTTGAACAATAACTATGTTTTTAAAGGTACTGATTTTTAAAATACGTTTTAAAAAACGTATAGGGCTGGGGATGTAGCTTAGTAGAGAATTTGCCTTGCATGCACGAGGCCCTTGGTTTGATCCCCAGCACACACACACACAAAAAAAAGGTGTAATTTATATATACTAAATTTCACAAGTTTTAAATGTGCAGTCTAATGAATTTGTAGATGTGTAACCATTGCCCAGAACAAGATATAGAACCTTTCCAGCACCCAGTAGGCTCCTCCGTACCTCTTCCTAGTACCCCACCCTCAAAAA